GTTGTTCAGCATCTTAGCTGTAGAGGGCAGTGTCACTGGCCCTCATATGTGGGATCCAAACCGGGGCCCTCTGGCGTCCCAAGCCAGCTCTTAACCAATATGCCACTCGGCCGGCCCTTGGTCATTAATTTTTGACAGTTTCAATATAATGTGCCTTGGAGAAGACCTTACAGGATTGAGATAATTAGGTGTTCTGTTTGCTTCTTGGATTTGAGGATACAGATCCTTCCATAGGTTTGGGAAGTTCTCATCAACTGTTTGAGTAGGTTTTCTGTGCTCTTCTCCCTTTCTTCTCCTTCTGGTATACCTATTTAACTCTCAAGTCTCTTCTATCTGCATCATTTCCAATTTCTGTCTTCGATATCATTAATTCTTTCCTTTATCTGGTCAGCTCTATTTCCTAAGCACGCTATTTCATTCTTCGTCTCTTTTATTGAGTTCTTTAGCACCAGAATTTCTATTTGGTTCTTTTTTAAATTTTCAGTCTCTTTGGTAAAGTATTCATTTTGTTTTTTGATTTTTTTCCTAAGTTTGTTAAGCTGCCTATCTGAGTTTTCTTGCATCTTGTTGAATTTTTTTCAGAATTACAATCTTGAATTCTGTCTTTTAAGTCACATATTTCCATGTCTTTAAGTTCATTTTCTGGAGATTTTTCATTTTCTTTCTGAGATGCCATGTTACCTTGGTTTTTCATGATAATTGATGGATAATTTCTCTTCCTAGATATCTATGGGAATGAATTCTGAGCAGGTTGATTCAAAGAGGTCTTTGTTTTGTTTTTCAGTAGGTAACCCTGGAGCATTTTATTTTCTCTTGACCTGTTCTGGCTTCTTGTTGTGGAAGATTCCCTGATGAGGATGGGTATCTCCTCTGTGATCAGGTTCCTTTGGTCACAGGGCATCACCCCCGTAGGAGAATGTGGTAGGCAATATGGTTCTGAACTCGTGAAATTCCAGTGCTGCCCCTACAGCCAGATGCAGAGCTGTGCTGCCTGAGCAGTCTTGATGCCTCCGCTGGGATTAGCCACAAAAGGTGGGGGTGGCGTTGGCTGGAAGAGACGGCTGCTGTGTTTGTAGCTTTGTTCTCGGAGTAATGGTGACGGCCAGACCACAGCTGCCTCACCCCAGTATCTCCACCCTTATCCCTGGGATTAGTTACAGTGTGTGTCTCTGCCACTCAGGAACTGCCTCTCCATTTCTCAGGGCTGTGGATATTCTGTTCTTTAACCCACTCACTGCTACAGGTTTTTGGGGGGCCTGCTGCTAGCTCTGGGAGGGGATGAGGAGGTGAGTTCTTCAGACAGTGGTGGGAGGTGGCCGGGCTCTATGACTTTGTTTTCTGCCTGGCAGTGAAGTCAGCTGTGTACATCAGTCCACAGCTGTTGTACTTCTGTATTCAGGTTACACTTTGCCCCAAGTTCTCTGCCCCCATCACTTGGTTCAGTTGTATTATACGCTTATCACTCAGGGAGGATTGCTTGGGGCACAGAGAGTGCACCTGCAGCCTGATTCCTCCCCTCTCCCGGACCGGACAGCAGTGAGCTCTGGGCTGCATCTGCAGCCCCTGTCTCTGCTTTTCTCCCTTCCTTCTTCCCCTGTTTGCCCTGATTCACCCACCTTCAGATGTTTCAATGTGCAGATCTCTCAGACATGGCTTTGTGTTGCACAGGGAATCCTTTGTTGAATTATAGCTTGCTGTCACTTTAAGTGGAGAGATCAAGGAGGACCCCTCATGCTGCCATGTGTCCTACATCACTGAAATTATTTTTCTTACTTCCACTTGATCTCCAGTTGGCAGTGACAATAAACCTAAACATTTATTTTTCTTTACAAAAGGACAGTGTGCTCATTAAAACAATTTGGAGGTTGCAAGAATGTTCAAATAAGAAGGTAATCTTCTGGATCCTATCATGCAGAGGTAATACAATCTTAGCAGACTATTGTCTTGCAGTTTTACCTACTTGCATCTATGATACAAAGAAGCATTTTTGTTTACCAAATTGAGATCACACTATAGATTCAATTTTGTGTCCTGCTGTTTGTTCTTAAAGTATATTAAAAACATTTCCTATGTCTACATTGTTTTTGAAAATGCAATTAAGCTTTTTTTAAAAAGATTTTTATTGGGAAATTGGGGGATGGGAATAGCGCTGGGGAATTGGGGGAAGGGAACAGACAAGTTGCTGTCGTTTTGTTCTTCAGTCTAGTTATGGAGGACGTTGCTTCACTGGCCCAAGTTGGCACCATCATTGCGCTCTTCCCGGGCGAGGCAGATCAGTCA